TTATTATAGTATTTAATCATATATACAATATAGATATATATTTTATATTTATAACATGTTATTAAAATTACTAAATATGAATATGCCTTTTCTATAATTATCGTTTGTTTTATTAAATAAAAGAGAAAAATATCTATTCACTTTGTCGATTTACATAAACTTAATTTTACAATTGTGCTTTTCTACAACTATAGTAACTTTAACAAAAATAAAAAAAATAAATAGTTAATTTATGAAAAAAAAAAAAAATAATTTCATTGAACAACATTAAAAAAGTTTGTTAAAGTGAAATAATTTAATTTAAAGTATTTTTATATCTGAAAATTTAAAGTATTATCTTATTCAATGTACTTAAATGAATTCGAATAAAAACAATGTAATATTTACTATTTGAATACTATGCAGAAGCAGTATATAGCAGTAGATATTATTAAACATGCAATTTCATTACAATGAAACTTCTAAAAATGTGCAAATTAGCATAAAAAAATAATTTATTTTCTCATATACACATTTTCTTTAAATTTTTTCAGTTTCTCGTACAACACTGCATTACAATAATAAATTATTCCTTGTTAATAAAAAAAAATTAGTAATTGAATATACATACCGTTCTCTGGTCCTTCGACACTATGTAAAACAACCAGTGAATTGAGACTGTCGGATAATTGCCGTCGCTTTGGCGACAGTTGATGTCTTCCTTACATTGTTGTCTTTGTCGGTTATAAATATACGCTTTATGAAAGAATCTCTAAAGATTTATGCAAATGCTATCCTATAATTATAAATATATACAAGCGATTTTAATAAGTGACTCAAAAATGAATAATTTAAAAAAAATTTTCTTTTTTTAGTATAAGAACTTGTCGTTCAGAAGACAGATTTTTGTAACAACTAACTTAATGGCGCGTTATGTTACTAATTATTACTACTTCTAGAAATATTAATTAAAAAGAATTTAAATGTAATTTAAAGGTAATAAAAGCTATAACATATAACATAATTTAATTTAAATTAAATAAAGAATTATTGTTTAGGTTGAACCGTATAATGCAATTGCAACCAATTAATTACAAATGTTTATATTTTATTACTTTCCCTGCCTTATTTAGTCTGTATTTATAAAGAAATACTTTTATTATCATATTATTTATTTAAAATTGAAATAATAAATAGTATTATTTGAATTTTTATTAAAATATATTTACTTTAAACATTTTCGCTTTCTGAAAATTTTAAAATAGAGCAAGTAAAAAGGGAACGAAATTTTTTAATACGTTTTTTAATATGAATAATAATTATATAGTTAATATTAACCTTTTTTGTGCGCAAAATTCATAATCAATGCATATTAATGTACTTGTAGTCGATACAAATGATACAAATTTATATACATCGACACAAATTTATATATTTATGTATGTATGTATGTTTGCGTGCATGAATACGTATGTATATATATATATATATATACACGTATGTGTGCACATATAATAACTGATGTCATATACTATAAATTTAAGTAAATAAAAAATATAAATATTTAATGTACTGTCACGCGTTATTATTATATTCAATAAATTTAAAAACCTTACATTATCATGTATAATTATTATTGATTGTGTATAGTAACATACTCATTGAATTAAATTTCAAATTGTGAATTCTGGAAACAAAGACAATTATTTTTATACATAATATATAAAGTAAATATAAATTTTTTCATCGATGGATTTTCATAAATAATCTTTTACAGCAATCTTTACATAAAAATATTTGTTTTTATATTCAAAATAATATTATGTATTAAATGATCCATACTGGTTATAGTAAACGTTAAAAAAACACTGCAATATAGCTAGTATAATTTGCTACATTTTCAATTTTCGAGTATCATAAGCAATTTTAGATTAAGGTGGATTAGAGATAGAGGAGACTAACGATATTATAGCTTTTAATATGGTGATTATGGTTAGTTTAAGGATTTGAATTTAGATTTGATATCTTTTACAATATCTCAAATATAAAATATGCAATACAATTTTAATTAATAATTCTGTCAAAAAATAAAAATTCAATTTTAAATTTAATTATTTCGAAATCTAAATGTTATAAAATTATTTATAAAAATACGACGGTTTTATCCAATGGATTTATATTATTGGTAGCTTATATTTAATTTATGTATATGCTTAGACCCACGCGTAGTTAGAAATCATATTGCAATTAATGTTTTTACGAATTATAAAAAGTATTTAAACTTTTAAGATTTATAGTAATAATTTTTTCTTAAATTTTATTATTTTAGAAAAAATTTCTATTTTAATTTTATAATAAGATATTATATTGGTTATTAAAAGCATAGTTTTTTTATAATTAATTTACTAAATAGGGCAATGACTTTAGATGTAAGTACATATTTATAATCTATCTACTAATTTGTCTCTTTTTGTTTATGGGTATGGGTTTATGTTTATGGGTATATGACTAATTTTGTCCTCGATATGAAGTATTAATTATTTGCATCAAAATCATACTGTTCGGAATTGAAGCATTTTATTCGAAGTCATCGCTTCTCGGAATGTTTACACTTTTTAACATTAATTTCACCACTAGACAAAAGCTCGAATTCTCGAGCGTTCTACAAGGCTGCTTAGCTCTTGAATGTTTACATCCATCTTCTTAGAATTCTCGGATAGCCGAAAGCTTAGAATCCCGACCGATTCCGATCGTTTTCGATTGCTCCCGAAGGCTGCCTAGCCTCCAACGATTACGTTTGCTTTCGCCGAATTCTCAAATAGCCGAAAGCTTATTTCGAGTTCGAGTAAGTTGCCGCGCTGATACTTAAGGAAGCGCGCGTCAAGACTCCATGTAGTTTACCACCAGCCCACTCAGTCAGTCACTCAGTACACAGTGTCGGTAGTTCATAAAGTGCCACTATTCACTATTCACTATTCAGTTATTCGTCCAAACCAGTCATCAACGCCCAAGTCACGATTCGCACGGAGTCTTTGCCAGGAAAAGGTCAAGTAACGCGCACTCATTCGACGCAGCAATTGCAAGGAACGCTCGTTCTCTTCTGCAGTGCACCAAGGCAGCATTCCGTCAAGGGTAGACTGGCGTTCTAGAAAATAGTCGCCTATAAAAATCATAATATCAAGTCCTTCAACTCTCGAAGGTATATTATCTGTCTCTATTGCGAATAACTAGCACACGGATACTCCCATACCGCCCTTATGAGTATGGTCGATTCTCACCGAGACATTACCATACTCCCATTATGAGTATGGTCAATTCTCCCTGCTAAGCACTGCTAACTACCATTAATACCTTCCCATGCTCATCCGATGAACATGGTCCACTGTTCTTGCTGATCCTTACAACGTCAGCATAGAATCCAATAATCAACATCCATTGCCGATCCCCATAACGTCAACGACATCGCCACCATTACGAAGAAGCAGCAACCACATAATTACAATCGAATAATCTCTTCGCACACACACACACGCACGCACACACACACACACAAAAAGAAGTGAACATAGAACTGCAATATTGTAATTGTTAATAAAATAGAATAAAGGATGTCTTAATCAAGAGTATACATTGTACATATTTTCAGCCCTTCCACGTGTCTTCTTTCTTACGCGTCGCTACGTTCCAGAGGCTAATAAACTGAAATATTGAATTTGGCAGTTCGAGCCACAAACTAATCTTTCGAACGCATACAATAAACATATCATTGAAAAATATATCAGCTTCAAATAGAACCAATATTATTCAATTATATGCTAATAATATAATAGCATTACGCCATTGTGTCACCAATAATCAATTTTAATTTAAATTATTATGTAAAGAAGAGATCATCCTGTTTCAAGTACTTCAAAATTTGAAAACTATTTGAAAAATATTTTACATAAATCAAGCAATTTAAGAAATATTAAAAACTTTAATTAATTACATAAAAATAAACTATGAACTATGAAAAGGAACTTCCCATATGCTACTTTGGTTTAAATTTTCGAAATATCTAGATAATATATATTGTCTAAATCATTATATTCGTTTAATATGTATTCAGAGTGGGAGTATTAAATTCCGTACCATTTACGTTATCAATGTGTAATCAATAACGTGCAAATTTGATGCATTCAACTAATAACTGACCACAACCTGATGGCATTTTGACACTACATTGTAAATTCAAGTTTTACGCCCTGGATTCTCATCGGACATATATTTTCCCACAGTTCAAGCAACAGGTAAATGTCGATAAAAGCTTATCATATCATAAAGATACTTGACATATGAATGAATATAAAATAAAAATATATTAATATTTAAAATCATAGGCAGCCATTGTAATTCACATAAGAGTGAGAGTGAACGAAGATTACGATCGAACGCTAAAAAATTAAGAATAATTTTGCATATATATATATATATATATATATATATTCATAATTTATAATATATATATATATATTATAAAGAATTATATAAAAATTTATGGGACAGTTTATGGAATAATTTCTGAATTTATTAAAACAAAAACAAAACAAAAATGATAAAAAAAAAACACATGTTAAGATTATAACTTTATTGTTAGAAAATTTTATTTCTTGTTAAAAGAATAGTTTAGTAATTAACTACTACATGGCGATAAGAAAACATGTTTTAAATATTATAACTAATTTCAATTTTTTTTACATTTTTTATACATATCTATATGAATAGAAATAGACCATTAAATAACTTAATAAAGTAGCCATGATTACTATAATATATTACTTTCAACTTAAAATTTATTTATTATATTTATTTGAAATATTTGTTTACATAAAAATTATACAATAAATTTATATATCCTCTTTTATATCTCATACAATATTAATTATTCTCTGAAAATATTTAATTTTACAAATTTTATTTTTTAAACCATAAATTTAAAATTAAATTTAAAAAGATTATTTATTTTTTATGTTATTAACGTGTAACAAATATATGTTTTATCTACATTTCTTAGAATTTGCTATTGCACAACACATACAGTAAGATTAAAATCAAATATGTATTATTTCAAATAAATATAACGGACTAAAATTTTTCAAAATTTTATATCTGTTATTATAAATATTTTTCAAAAGTTGATCGATGAACTAATTTTGTCTATAAGTACACATGTAGTGCTCTTGAAAGTTGGCCCCATTTGGCACATGAACCAGTCAAGTGTTGTTGGACAGATCAAAACAATCGCAAGTAGACTCACTACAATTGGTGCACAAAGCATCAGAATAATCTAATAAGAAAAAGATTCAATAAATAATTAACAAATAATCTATGAAATAACAAAAAATATTTCATAAGAATTATATATTTAAATCTCAAATTTATGTCTCGCTTGTAGTATTTTCAAAAAAAAAAAAAAAACAAAAAAAAAAAAACAAATAACGAATGAATATGGAGTGTGCATTTATGATTTAAAACAAATACAGCGAATTCTATGATATCTTGTAATATAATATTTCGGCTCAATCAGATTAGCTTACATATAATATATTTATCTTTCTGTTTCACCTAATAAGCATATTATTAATATACTTTATTGTATTAACTACTATTTACTAAATTTTTCTGTTAGTATTGCAAAAATATAATATAGATTATGCAATAATTTAAAGGTACATTGCAAATGAAATTAATGATACAGTTGGCTATAAAGTCAAACGCGTAAATACCTTTTTTAATAAAACGGATAAATTAAGTTAATAAATACAATACTTGATTATTTATAAGATGTGTAAAGAGAGTTTATTTTGATTTCTTAATGATAAATAAGTGCTGTTATCTAGTTATTTGTACGTCTGTACATAATTTTCATTTTTTAATTTCATTTTCATTTTTTAACTGCAAGAACGTGATTTATAATAGTAAACCAAACACCTGCTACATCATAGTAACATAAATTTAACATAATAAATTTAGATCATAAAAATTATGGCTTCAAATACATTTATAAAAATGTAATCATTTATAATATTTTAATATAATATACATATATTTTTATGTATAAGAATAAATGCATGATAATGTTAATGTCAATGAAATAAATGTTTTCATTGAAATTATCAATGTAATAAAAATAAAAAAGAAGATATGATGTATTAAATTTTGTATTATATTATATTGGTTTTCTATTAGATGATTTGATGTTATCAGTATTTTGTTATCGTTTGTTAGTTTACAGTTTTCTTCCATTTATAATTAACTAATTGATTCAAAACTCATTATCTCAAAATTGGCGATTAAATTAATGTTTTCATAAATCAAAGGTGCCGTAGCACTCGATACAATGCAATACATAAAGAATTAAAAAAATATATATATTCACACTTTCTAGCATTTACCAACTGAAATATAAATAATTTTAAATGTGTAAAATTGATTTATACAATTTAACTAACTAATTTATCTAATTTGACTTATATATTATTTTTCATATATAGTCTGAATTTATTGCATTTAATATTTAAAATAAAAAAGTTGTCATATAACATTGATAATTCATATTATGTTAAAGAGAATCTTATTATTGATTAATAATAAATAAAATAATTAAGAATATTATATTAAAACGTACATGCCATATCCAAGAGATTATAATCCATCCTAAAAGGACAGTTCCTGCAGTCCTTATATAGGGCGCAAATTCCGTTTCGCATAAATAGTAATGTAAGCAGCTATTAACTGGAATATATGTTACAAGTTTTTCCATTTTGTCTAAATTTTATAAGATCTTTTTATCTCATTTTGTATACCAAGAATTAGTAATTTTTTAAATTTTTTTAGTAAATTTCAAAGAAAACTGATTCACTTTAAATTTTTATCATTTCTTCATGGAGTTCTGATACGTCTAAAACGTATGTAAATTTATAAAAACAATTGATCTTCCAAGATTCTAAATAATAACAAAACACTAATTCAGTTTCCAAAATCGTTATCGATTATTATTATGACTATAAGATTACAAATGTTATATAATCTTTACATATTCGAACATTTGAATTTTAATATAGAAATTCTTGACAGTATAAATTAATGTATGCAATTAAACAACATTATAGATATTTATAATCTCCTTGTTTAATATATAATAGTATTTTAAAAATTAAGTTTTTATACTCATGTTTATTTTTTAAAGTAAATAAAATTCAACCCACAAACAAAAATTTTAAATATATTTAACTCTAGCCTTAGATTAACTAACAAAATATAAAAAGAAATTTAACAATCAAGAAATAAAATAAAAAATAATAAATTATAATAATAATATGAAAAGTAAAGTAAGGTGATATACGAAATATAAGAGTAATAAAATTAATATTGTAAATATATTTTAATTATATAAAAATTCTGTTAAATTAAAAATGTTATATATTAAAAAAGAATTATTAGTAAATTTTTCGAAATAAAAGCTGATAGTTATATGTTTATGGCGTTACTTTTACACGTTTTAAAATAATTGTAATGGATATATTTCTATATTCAATATTTTCCCTTTTAACTAACTACAACAACAGTTTTTAATTGTTTGAATCCTAAAGAGTTTTTACATATTCCTAAGGAATTCCTTTTATAAATTATTTCTACAAAATTTTATATTACTGAATGAATAAATATTTTACATTCGTCTATAATACCAAAGCCGCAATTCACTCTTCCAATGACGCATCTAATAATCTAATAATATTATAAAATTGTTTAATAAAATTTACATTAGATTTATATCAAATTAATATTATAAAATTTATAGAACATAAAATATAAATATAATTCAATCAATAAAATAAAGAAACCATAACATCCTTTCAAAAATATATTAAAAATTATTAAGGTTATAAAATAAGAATTAGTTATTATTATAATTAGAGATAATGCATCGGAATTATTTGAAATTAAGCATGAAAGTTAAATGAATAATAAAAATTAAGAAAAAAAAATTCGATTTTTATTCGTAATATAGAAATTACAAACAGAACCATTAATATGTAAGTCCAAATTTCTAATAAATATTTAACTATGATATTTCTCAATTATTCTATTAAAGGCATAACATATTTTTTTACAATATTCTTAGGTTAAGAATATAGTATATTAGATTAATATTCATAAAACTATTGTTGAATAAACTTCAAATTTATTTTATTTTAAAGGTAAATATTTTTAATTTACTCTACCAAATTATTATGAACCATTTAAGATATTGTTGGACATTATATTATATTAATTTTAAATTTACAATAAAGTAATGATTGTTTATAATAATATTAACATGTAATTTAATTTTAAAAATTATATATTTAAACTAAAGAGTTAATATAAATTTACTAATACATTTTTTATTTTGTAAAATTATAAATTTTCTTAAATACCGAGGAAAAATTGAAATCATTTTATACGTAATCCTATAAGAACTGATTTTTTTTCTTTCGTCTACTTTATATAAAATTTTGATAATTGTAAACATTCTTATATTTATTATTTTAAAAAATAAAACTTTTCAGATCATATTTTTATTCTATTTATTTTTTATAAAAATTAAGGGACAAATATATCAAATAAATTAAAGAATCAAATTAACAACAATGAACTTAATATTAATGATTATATATTGGATTTAATTCCTGCACTTATGGAGCTAATTAAAGATAATTGGATGCATTTATATGTTAATAAGTAATTAAAAGATAAATATATTTTTGGTAACTAAATATATAATACTTTTATACAATATTATCTTTGTTCATACGCTCTAATTTATTGTATTTTATAATGTCTCTTGCAACATTCATTCATCGAATTTTTATGTCATTTCCTCTTTTTCTCTCTCTTTCTTCTAACTATCTTCACTATTATATTTTTTTAATTTTTTACATGCCTTGATTTATTATAATTGTTATTTTCCTTCTTTTTAATTTGAACATGTAATAATGAATGAAAATACAAATTCACGTAACACATGATCAAATTTAAGTAATATAAGTCAAATCTAAATATATAATCATAAATATTTTTACAAATTTATGATTTAAAATTTAAATTAACAAAATCAGAAAAAAATTGTTTATATTATGTTTATATTGATATATAACGATAATTTTAACAATTATTTATAATATAAACAATTTTATACGTTTGTATATTTTTAAATAAAAACATTTTTTTAATATTTTTCCGTTTATTCAACGTATCTACTTAATTAAAAAATTATAATATAAAGAAATTTTAATATGATGTAAATAAATGATACAAAATTCATAAATAATATATTAAACAATAGTAGCACATATTGATTACTTAGAGAATAAAGTTCCAAGAAATAAAAAAATTTAATGAAATAAATTTTTTATTTTAATTCATTTCTTTAAAATCGAGAGCTTGAAATATGTAATAATTAATTAATAATCATGATATTTTTATCTTTAGTGTACATAAATTATTTTGTAGACTTCATTTTTTATCAACCCAAAAATATCTTTTTATAAAAACTGTAGATTGTAATTATTTTAGTCATGATCAGCTTGTATGGGATTATTAAAACAATATAATAGACTTTTTTAAATTTTGATAAAATTAAAAACTTAAAAAAAATGTAATGTACTTATATTTATGTATTATTTTTATTACAATGTTGGTTTTTGACATAGAATATTTTATGTTGTAGTTGTCTGCTCATTTAATGAAGGCTCAATAGACATTGCGGATTGTTGTAGATTTAACGGCAAATCTAACTGGGAGCTGTTGATTGTACCAAGAACTGTCCAAGTTTGCATAATCGTTAAGTTGATCAAATACTAATAATAAAATATTTATTCATATTATATTATAAAGATAATAAAATTGCGATAGAACTAAAGTTGGCTAATTAATTTTTAAAAGTTTTAGCCATTATTTATTTAGCTTATTATTTAAATGAAATATAACGAAATAAAGAAAGTGACGGAATTCACAAAATTTCTTAATAATACGATTTTTACAAAACTAATATATATTATATAATCCATTATTATATTAAAAATATGTATCATTAAAAATATATTTATTCTTAGTCGGCCAGATTTTTAACTTTAATACTTTGCTTATAAAATTATAAGAAACTTTTAATTTGTATAAATATTTAATAAATAAAATTTAAATTTATTTCACATTAACAAGTAAATAATGTTACTCTCTTTAATTTTATTATATAATAATTATCTAATTTTTAACAACGTAATTAATGTTGTACTTACGGTAATTAATTTTCCAGCTTGATGTAAAATAAATATGAATATAGGATTTGCAAATGATATTGTCCATTCTAATAAATTAGAAAATGTAGCGAAAGTTAAAAGAATGCCACTTAATGTTACCAAAATAATTATTTCAACAACATTGCCTACTGCCTGTAACCATATAAATTTAAGTTTATCTTAGGTATGCTTATACAAATTCTTACAGCTTTCATACATGAACTTACGCAAAGTAAAGTCATCTTAGTTCTTTAATATTTTTATATAGTATTTGACTGTTTTCAAATATTAATTGATTTTTACTTTAATATTGTACGTACTAGAAAATTTTTTAATATCTAACCTCAATGATTTTATTGCACTTTTTAATTTTGAAGTCCTAATTAAACGGAATTTCCCTTTTTTTTTTTAAGAATTAATTGAGTAAATCATAATTTTTTCTGATAAATTTTATTATATTAAAGTTTTGCATATCTGCAGAATTTATTTTTTCGATATTTTGCTAACTATAAATTTAAGTAAAAAAAAAAAGAATTATGATTTAGTTGTTCAAGTAATTAAAATAACTGTTCCATTAATTCTTTATTAATTTATTTTAAAGCGTGACAAAATTATCCGTATGATTTTTATTTAAGTTTTAGACTTAAATGAAGTGTAATATTAATTTATACATCTTACAATACATACTTTTAATAACATATCACATATTGTTATTAATATTTTAACTATAATAATTTGATCTATATTGTTTATAATCATATTTTTTTACATGAGTAAAATAATGTAAAAGAGTGCTGTGTTAATATTATATCAATAAGTAAATATTTTCTGAAGATTAAAATTAATAATATTTCTTTATCTGATTTATCAAACTTTTGAGCAAATTATTTAATAATTTATCTTAACATATTGTCTCAAAAATATTCAAAGTTTAATAAACCTCTAACTATTTTATACAATTGATTCTTATTAAAATAATAGAGAACATCAAACTTGATATATTTATAACATATTTATATATAAATCAAAATAATTTAAAAACTATGCTGTTTATCTTACATCTTTCTATTAAATAATATATATATATATATATATATAATTTAATTCTTTTAATATTGTATACCCAACGAAAAAAATTATAGTTGATTAATTATTAATTAATCAACCAAAATGTTTAAGAAACATCTCAAAAACTTTCTTCATTTCCTTCGATCCTTTCGGTTTGTTTATTTATTGTTAATTTATGAAAAAGGAAAATAAATTTTTAACATGTAGGCTTCATTTATTCTTATTAGATACGAAAATAATTTGTTTTTAGAAATATGTTATAAATTTATTTAAAATGTTTTAAATTACATTTAAAATGTTTGACAATGAAATTATGAAAATGAGAATTAAAATAATGCATTTCAAATGAAATATACATTTACATGAATATATATTTAAATTGTATAAAACGTCATCTATTAGCAAAATATATTTAATAAATTATATATCATTGTATGACAATAAAATTTTTAAATTCATCGAAAAACTAAACTGGTGATGATACATGATACATTTTTTTATCTATATTTAATTTTATTTTATAATAAAAATTTACAAGAAAAACGAAGCATCAATAATAGTTATATTCAATTAACAACAATAAAAATAACAATTAATTTTGTCCATGAGTTATAAAATATTTTCATCAAGCATAATATATTATTTAATTGTATGTTACAAATTATTTTAAAAATATTTACTAAATTTACAAAATCAAATTAAAAACGTATTTAATGAGTTAAAAATGCTTTCGTCAAATAATTTGAAATATTCTTTCACAATTAAAAATAACTCTTATTTTCTGTTGTCTTCATGTTAAAAAGTATAAAATTATTCAATAGCAGTCTTGATATTTTATATTAGGCAGTGCTAGAGTGACTATTTGTTGTGCCACTAATAGCATTAAAGAGTGCAGCACTGTTACGTTTGAAACTTGTAATGTGCTCATCTGGCCACACTGATTCTCCTAAAAGAGTCGATAAATTTTGACAAAACTTTTGATAATTTTCTCGCAATGCTTCTTGATATTCAAACTGATCACAAGTTATCAATTTGCTATTAATTTGAAGTGCTGTATAACAAATTTTTACAAACTCTCTGTAATAATATGGAATTATTAATTATTTAAATGGGTCAAAAATAAAGTGTATAAATTGAAATTTATATTTCATTATTTTACCTAAAAACATCTTTTAATTCTAGAACTAAATCATCGGCATATCCAGAAGGTTGATTTGGATTTAAAAATGCGCTAGCATATGCTAGTGGACCAGCATTTACTGTAACACAAACACTCCCTTGAAGTTTGAGTTGAAGCTTTTTAGCATCAGCTGGTCCACTAGTTAATGCAACTTCTTGCAATTCTTTTACTCTTTGTCTCATTTCATCTAATGCAACTTGAATTGGATTTAACTCTATAATTTTTTTTTCAACTACTTGAATACGTTTCTTTACATATGGAAAGGAGCATTGTGCTGTAATACAAAATTGAATTGAAATTCATATTTTTATGAAAATTTTGTATAATAAATAGAAAAAAAAAAAAAAAACAAGTACTAGTAAGAATAGTTCTACGCTTCCATTGGTCTTGAGGATCTCCTTTTGATTTACTACCTTCTTGCGTAAAGGGAGTTTCAAACATAAAAGTAGATATGTCATGATTTCTTTCAAACTCTGTTATTCGAGATTCAAGTTCAATTTCATCAAAATATGGTGTTACATAAGTTACTTGTATGTAAGCTATTTTAGGATCTAATTCAGAGATGTGATCAACGCTTGAATCCATTATTATTTTTACATTTTCAGTTCCAAATTTTTCTGAATAAAGATTATATAAGCGTTCTGAAATTTCTGAAAGAGAAGTTACTTTCGGTTCTTTGTAAATATATTCCATACCATTTTCTTGTTCAAAATAAAACTGAAAAATGCAAATAATAATAACTTTAATAATAATAATAATAGTAATAACTTCAATTGTATAAAATATTAACAGAAGAAATAATTTTGATAGTATTGGATAACAATTGTATTTAAATCACTGAATAAGTAATCAAATACAAATTACACTGTTTTCATTATATAATATTCGGTATAAAAATAAATCTAAATTATTAACAAATAATTCAGTCAATATTAAACAATTAATATAAGTTGAATTAAATTTTAATATAGGTTATTATTACATGCCAAAGCAAGTGAAGAAAAGAACCAGAAAGAGGCTAGAATTGAAATCTTCATATACAATTTTTATAGTCTGTAAAATAATTAATAATAACAAAAACTAATATAATTTACAGTAATAATCTACAAAATTGAAGTATATTTAAAAATGCAGTGATTAAAGCTATTCTTATTATTAAATGTATACTATTTTTTTTATTTCTAATAGAAATTAAAATAAATTACTTAAAACATTTACTAAAGTATTGTTCTTACCGAACCAAAGAAGGCTACTTTATAAAATCGTCCAAGTAATCTTTTTCCACTTTTATTTACTTGTACTACTTTGTTACAAGCCTGTGTCAAATGTGCATAACAATTTGCTAAAGCTTGATAATTTCTCTTTTTCTCATACATTGGTATAATTAAACGATATAGATGACCAAGTAATTCAAATCTCTCGGCTTTATCTAACATCTCGGCACACGTTTCTAATTGTTCTAGTAACATATGATCATTATAATGAATATCTTGAACACCAGCATCAAGCTTAAGGCCTTTCTCATCTCTTGATATATTTTTTGATATTTTATCAAATGCTTCTGCGCCCCAGTAATTTAAATTATTTAATTTTAAATATTCTGCCATTAATGCCGAAATATGTAATTGACAGCAAGCAGCCTATATTTTTAATTTAAAGTCATATTGACATATAATTAATAATACAAAATAAAAAATTATGTGTTCCTTATGTATACAAATGATAAACCTACTTCAGAATAGTTTCCATCTCTGGCATGATTTCGAGCCATGGTTTCTAACCAGGTATGCCTCAACTCGGGTGTACTAGCGTAAGAATTTGCTAAGCTATGTTCAAGATCAAGCAGCATTTCAGGATCATTTTTATGTTCTCTCATTTGTGCTGTTGCCATCAATACAGTTCTAATTCGTTTATTTAAATCTTGAACTTCTAATGGAAAATTCGTTCCTTGCATAACTTTATCTGAGCAGGCGTAACTATTTATTAATGATAAAGATTCTTGAAACCTAGAATTATTTAAGCTAATAACGTTGCCCAACATTTGCGAAACTGAAATTATCACCTAATAGTAACATAAAAAAATAATTAAACATATGTATAAATTTGTATTTTATCTTATATATAATTATGATAGTACTTGAAGGTGAACTCTTGTCAATCCTTTTCTACTTGTAAATTCAAAATTGCTACGCATAAGTAAATAAAGTAGAGCGCATGATTCTTGTCTTATAGAACTTAGTTTACTATTACAACATCTTAATAATTCATAGCATAACCTTCCGCACAATACAGCATTACCTGAAATATAATAAAATTTTTAAATTAAACGAATAAAATCACAGATAAATATTCTAATAAATATAAAATTATTGAAAAATATAAACAATAAATGAATAGAGTTGTAATATAATAATGTCACACCGATTATGATAAGAAATATTCTTAATTAAAAAATAACATGGAAATTAATTAATGTCTACAAATATATATAATATGTGTATATATATGTATATATATTGCTTTTATAATATATTTTACTATTATTAATATTATTACCTTGAAATAGTATTGCAGAATAATTATTTAATAAAGCTCTTAAACTAGCAAATACATGACGAAATAGACCCTCTGATTGACTAATTTGGAGAAATGTTAAATAAACTGTAACTACTTGCTGTACAATTGGGTTACTATCATCTGCCTCTAGTAGTAAATCCTGAAAAAGTATTGAGATTTAATTTTACCTAAATATTATCCAAATTTTACAATAAAATTAAATGATATTATTATAAAAACAATTATAAAGAACATCGATTTAAAAAGTGTTTTAAAAAGCATTTTAAAAAGTATTTTTTAAATTCTTAATTTTTATATAAATTAATAAATATGTAAAAAATAGTACAGAGTTTCAAATATAACATGAATATTTGGAAATTTATTATTTAATTAATAAATTTACCTTACATCAAAGAAGCAATTATTAAAATTCTATAATATGTGTATAGGACAAATTAATTTAAAAATTAGGAATTTAAGATTTTTTATATTAAATCTTACCTTAAAATGAAAACAAAACAATCCCAAACAGTCAAGCACAACAAGGCCAACTTCTGCTGCTAAATTTCCTTGCTTCGTACTGTGCAACTTTTCGAAATCGTTTTCTAGCAAATTTTCTCTAATGACTGTTGTGTTTTGAGGTTGCAGTGTACCAGTCGTAGGAGATGAATCGTTAGAAAAATCAGGAGGAGCCATCCTAGCTGGTAATGTCATAGATTTTACAGCCTTTGGTTTATCAGTATCTTGTCCAGTGTTTGTCGATGATTGTCTCTTGCCAAGATATTTAAAATGATGTAAGCACAATCTAAAAGTAAACATAAATATCTTTCATTTTGAGTATTTATAATACATATTTTCAACAAAATGAACTTATTCGTAAATATTATAAAATTTTAATTTATTTGCATAATAGATATAAAAATTATGAATAATGAAGTTATGTAGTAAAATTTTTAACTATTTTTGTCAATAAATATGATACGTTAAAAACTACTAACTCAATCACTGACAAAAACTTCTGAATCTCAATTTCATTGCATTGTTGCCACCAAGTTGTTGTTTGATTATCATCTACATATTTGATCACAAATAAAAAACAAAGTAATAAATCCTGTACTTCCGAAGACTGAAATTTATCACATCGAGGTGTGGAAACCGTAGTATGTGAAACACTAACTGAGCGGGAATGTCCTTTTTGTTCCCTCATGTCATTATTAATGTCTACATATTCACAATTTAAAATAGCGGTTTCTTGAGAAAGATTGGATTGAGTGGCACTAGAAATTGTTGATAAGTCTGATTCAATACTCGTACAAGAGAAGCCATTAACCATATTATGGCCGGCAATAGCAGCCAAATATGTCGAATCTCTTATGCTTACAGAGCTTCTTATTGGTGATTGTTGAGACTCAATATGTGGTAAGCATCTAAAAATTTAATGCAATACATATTTAATAATTAGTCATTTATATACTTACTTATATATTCATTACCTGTTAGATGTTTTTATAGGAGTGCTTGTTCCAGTAGAGATATTATTAATTGTGCTTGAGGCAGAAGTTAATGTATAGTTTGTATTTTGTCGTATAAAACAAGTGGAAGTGCGATTATGGATACAGGTTTTGTTTTCGATATTTCGTTGAATTTCATTTTTGACTATATTATTTACAGACTCAAAACGATCAATATTTTCTAATATAATATCCAACCAAGGTATATACAAAGAAGCTATCCTACTCATTCGTCCCTTTATTAATATTTTAAAAAATATAAATATTACATTACATAAATCTTATACAATATTATAGTATATTTAAATAAAATTTAATAAAAGTTTATTATTTGCTAAAAATATTAGCTATGCGAATATGCTTTTCATCACATTATCTGTTAAACAATTGTATTTGAAATATTTTAGTAATACTTTGTCTAGGTACATGTTTTCATTTTTTAAATGTAATGAAAATAATTTTAATAATATTCATTACTTTCTTAAATAAACAGAACTATTATATTATGTGTATTTTTTACTCTACATATATATTTAGATACAATAATGTGTTTTATTAATAATAATAATTGAAATTATAAAATTAAATAAATTGTAATTTTCAATCGAAGAATTATACTTTTATTCCATAATTTTTACATATGTATAAATATTAAATAATTATAATTTAAAAAATATTTTAAAAAATTCAAACACTACATTTATTAAACAATTATTAATTGAGTTTCAATCGTTTTAATACATAAGAATATTTGAAATATTTACATACACTATATAAGGAATTTATATTTTAGATATATCAATTTTTCAAATGAACTTGAAATATATTTAATAATATATATATAATATATTTATACATACTTTATCTCGATATCTATCATCCAACTCATGTTTGGCCAATAAATCTCTCAAAGTGGTAATTGCCATTTTTCTTATTAGGGCAATTTCATTCAATGACAATTTAACTTGCTGAAGTAAAAGTCCTACCAGAAAATGATACTTGCAAAAGTTTTCCGTTAGGTAATATTCACTGCGCAATGTATCTGAAAGATTGAAAATACTATGTACACCTACAATTATGATTCCATAAAATAATTGAATAATAAGCACAAATTATTATTTATTCAACAAATATCTAAACATAAAATAAAATAGACTTAATGTAGTGAGTCAAACATGCGTTCAGGCCCAACTTTTTTTTGCAAATAATAATAAATAAAGGATTTAATATTCAAGCTGTTATTTGTGTTTTTTAAGCGTAAAATACAAATTAAAATAGTGCAAATACTTTCAAGAAAAAATATTAAAATTTAGTGAAGAAAAAAAACATAATTTCATACATAGGGCGATTATAATTAAGATACATATTAAGAACTACAAAAATGTAAAAAAAAAAATTAAAATATGTTATACATCAATAGAGGCCGGTCCGGTCAAATTCAATTTTATTATCATACATGAATTTGTATGTAATATAATTAAGTATAATATACTATACATTATAATTTTTAAAACATTTTTATTGTTTTAAACGTTGGAGGAGCACTAGGTAGAAATATATAAAATATTTTTAAAAAATAAATTTTTGTTAATTATATAATTGTACAAAATATACTAATTATTTTTAAGAATTTATAATGAAAACGTAGAATGTTATACAAATAAATAATTTTTAACATATAGAAATGTGAAGGTACTACGTAGCATACAATCTCATTTTATGTAAATTAAACCTAATGTATGTAGACGAATGTATCTTGACGAAAATGACAAGGCAATAATAATGGGTACATATATTTAATATATGGAGAATAGGAGAATTAAATAAATCACTTATAATCAATATTACTTTTAAGTATAATATAAATTAATAACATAAATTACAATGGAACAATACTTGCTGTATTCGATATGAAAATATAACTAGTAAAAATTTTTTTAAACAACACGTGATATAAGATTTGCAACATAAGAAATAGAAGACTAAATGAGATTAATCACTGAAACTATGCAGCATATGTATGTAAAAATACTACAGCAAAGTCTGAAAAAAAGAATAAAACTTTTTAACAAAAATACTCAAATACTAAGTCGATAAGAGACGTTGTCGGTTGTGCAGAGAAAATATCGTTAACACCTTCTTTCGAAAACATCCGTAAGAATAAAGAGAAATTAAATATTCATGATGAAATAGATTCCACTCTTAAGCTTTGAGCTTTCTACAAAAAGAAAAGGTACGAGGATCAAACGACATTTACGTAAAGGTTTTGATAACTTATAACTAATTATATTAATTATTAAATTTATATTATTTCTCAAATTATTAATAAAATACGCTCGTGTACATACATACGTTAAACTAAAATTTTGTTTTTATGAATGTTATTAAAAATTGAATGTATATGGAATAAATATTATAATTTCAGAATGAATCAATATAGATATTATAAATCGAGTGATTTGTGCAAACTGCTTCGAATTTATTTAAATAATTTACATTAATAATTTTATATATTTTTATATTTTTTTTTATTTTAAGATAAATAAAAACATTCTCGGTCAGAGTTCGTTCACAATAGTATTTCATGAAGTCTTTTCAGACACGGCGGTATAAAATTTAAAAATATATAATTTGATAATAATATTATAAAAAACATTATTACTATGTTTGGCAACAGAATACTTATAATAGATAAATATAAAGATATTAAAAAGTATTATTATTCTAATAAAATTATTAATAATAGTTAAGGCAATTGAAATTACTTTACTTATTTCCAAATTTAAAAGTAATACCTATTTGTAAATAGAATTAAAAAAATCGATTCATTCTAAAAAGAACAATATACGAAAAAATATACTTTAAAATATTTAATTATTTTATTATCTCCTCTCTCTTTCTTTCTCGCTCTCTCGTTTCGTTTTTCCTACACATCTTTCATAATGTAAAAAGATGAATCTGCAAGTTCTACGAATACGATACACCGTAACTTGCCTATCGAAGACGTTTTAACAATACTTCTATTAACTAAATTGGTGTATTTTTATATTTGATATTAATAAACAATAGAAACCTCGAGTGTATCTGTATTTTTAAATGATGAAAAAATAGAAATACTTTATTTTGCTGGATTAAATATTAATGTCATATTTAGAAACTTATAAGGAATTTTGTATAGAGAATTATAAAAAAAAAAAGAAAAATAAATAAATAAATAAAATGCTTTTCAGTATATACAACATTGATTATTGATTGGTATATTTTCAGCATATTATAATTTATGCATTTATGTACACTTACTCAGGAATACATAAACAAACCATGCACAGGATCAGAAGAAAATTGATAATGTTTATGAGGATAATCAAATCATAGAAACATATTAACTGATCTACCGGAAATCACTGTTATTATAATAATAATTAGAATGTATTCCGTTTAATATTTTACATATTGTCTTGCTCCTATAACTCCTTTGAGCATGGCAGTAGGATCATATACTTTATCAGAAAAATACTTCAATTTATAAATCGTAAAATTATATTTTAAATATACCTAGAATCCATTAATAAAGTAGAAGTCTCTTTCTTGTGACCAGTCCGACCCCATGACACATATAGACTCACTATTTTTTATACGTATTATTAATAACATAAATTAAATTGCTGAGCGATTGAAGATATTAACATACCATCGTTATCAGGTTTACTGTCAGTTTCTTCTTTAAGATGGGGAAAAATATAATAATAATATGTTGTATTATTCAAGTTGATATAAATATATGATTTTATTATACCTTTCGATGTGATCCAAGTTTGCATCAATGGTAAATTGAATGAAATGTAATGTTCATGAGAACATATAATTTGAAGAAAATTATATTTCAAATCCTGCAATGTACGTGAAGTTCCAGAAGCAAATTTATCTATGTACGAATTGATTAATCTAAAAACGAGGCCTCGATCCATGAATGTAAGACATCGCTAAAAATTACGTTTAAAATTCTAAATAATTAATCTACATATGAGTAAGTTTAATGAAAGTAAATATTACTTTTAAAAATCGGGCAAGACTTCTATTCAATGCATGTGTTTCAAGTGGCAAATCTTTATACTTGTTCATTAATTGAGGTATTATTAATTGTACAAAAATTTCAACTTGTTCCTGATATTCCTTCGGAAATCTTTCATAGCGATGCATCTAAAATAAAAATATTTGACATAATATTAACATTACTTTTTAAATCAAATCAACAAATAAACCTTTATTCTGCCAGTGGTGAGAAGATGTTGAGCCATGCTTTTAATCATAATGTCAAAAAGTAATTCAGACTGATGCATAAATTTATTCAGCAACAATGTATCTGTATTACTTGGTAATAATAGAAGTGGTAAATATTTAGCGAGTTGTTCATGAACTGTTAGAATATTATTATGTTTATTTATCGGTGGTATAAAAATAAACTAAAACATAAAATTTGTACGTCAATTAATTTTACTTAACTTCATATTTAACCGTAATATTTATAATGAATTAAAATCATCGTTTCCTTACTTTAATATAGGCAAATAAAATATCTTGACGTCTAGCTTCACATATCACATTAATAATATGAATTAATAATCTAACAGTGTATTGACCTACTTCGTCACTTACATTGCATGTTAATAATGTAAATAATTGGTTTAATATTGTAGGTAAAAACGTGACAATAGTTACTAATTGCATAGCATGTGCTGCTTTCAATATTTTGCAAGTTTCTGAATCGGAAGGTACTGAAACTGGCATTGGCTCTATTATTTTTTCAGCATGAGTAAATAAATTGTGTAAATGTACGTCTCTAGTAAAAACTGTTGAATTTATTTGAACAGAAACTGTAAATATTGGTTTTTGAGAGTCAATCCATAATATTTCAGGTCCGGCATTCTAAGTATGAAATAGTATATATATATATATATATATATATAATAATGTATAATAAAATTAATGTTATTTTACATATTTAGTTTCAAAAATCAGATTATTTAATTTTCAATATCTTGATGGTAAAAAAAGAAATAAAATTAAAATTCAATAAGCTTCATTTATAAGTGTATATTATCAAAGTTTAAAAATAAGAATGAAAAAATATTCAAATCTGCAAAATATTCGTAAAATTATTAATATATATTTATATAAAAATTTTATTTTAATATTATAATATTATAATTTTTAAATATTTATCTCCGCACATTGATTGTGAATACATTTTATACTAACATAATAAAAACGTAATATGAATTGACATTACTTACACCTCTTCCAAGACCAAGTGGCTGAATTGATAAATATCCATCGGGTAAATGTGTTGCTACTGGCAAGATTTGTGCATTTTCTTCAATAAATACAAGTCTGCGAACCAAATTATTTACATTTTACACATATACTACATATACTGCACATAATTATACATTGCATTAATTTTAAAATGAGAATCATTAAACTTACCGCCCCTTAGTTAATAGTGGCAACCAAGCATAACCAAGACAATTTTCAACTAAACTATCCTTTTTTTTATTTATATCACAACTTATATGATAAAATGAAAAAAGAAGATGGTGCTTCTGATGAAGTTTTAACGGTAATCTAATTTTTATTTCTTCGTACCAAGATGGAGTTGCATTATGGTGTAAAACTGGGCATGAAATTCTTGAAACCAATAAAGCAGATCCAGGTCGACCATAAATACACTAAAATTTATACAGAGATACGAATTTTAACAATGTATTTTAAACATTAGTTGTATAATTTGATTTCAAAATGTACTGTCGTTTATGAAATGTTGAAATATATATTATAAATTGATATAAACTGTATTGATATGTAATATGCATTATTAATTATGATTTTTAAATAAATAAAATACTATTCAATAATTTATCAATTTATACTATTAAAATTTATTTTTAATTTACAGTAGAAATGAATTAGTATTGAAGGATATTAACAATACATTATTTCTGAATATGTATTTATGCTCTTTAACAATAAATAGTAATTTTTATATAAAAGTAGAAATTTTATATTACAATTATTCATGTCTTACTAATTATTGTTGAGTTACGCATGCGTATATCAAGCTATTGGTTGAATTAGATTTGTTTGTGCTCTAAATATTTGCTTATTTCCTCTTGATATAATATATCTTTTAATTCATTGAACATAAATATGTTCGAGAGAAAAGCGATAGAATTTCCATATATAATTGGAAATTTCGAGGTATTAGATCAATTAATTTCACCATTGCATAGAGAACACTATTAAGAGAATTTAACATACAATGTTAGAACAACTTGAAAATGAATGAGATTTCATTCAAACTTCAATATTATGAAATAATATGCAATAATTTTTGTGGTTTAATTTAATATTGAAATATTTTATTAATATAATTTACGTAACTAAATATTTCGATTGAATTAAAAAGAAACTATGATAAGACTGTAGACTTGAAAAAATTATTAAAATAATAATAATGGTTGATCAATAACTCAAGCATGAATAGATACACAAAAAGTTAAATAGATAGTCAGTGCTCTTCAAAAGGCTGTAACTCAGATAATACTATTTACTTTAAACTCAACATTGAAATGATTTTCTAAAAGCATAGATCTGACCGTATATATATATATATTATATATTACATCTAAATATTATATAATCTCTATTATATAATATCTAATAATATTAATACAATTAAATGAAATTTTGATTTGCAAACAAATTTCATGTTAATTTTTAACATAACTTAATTGTTTTTATGTTAAAAGAATTGAAAATAATTTATAATTAAATTATAGATGTTTTACTGCTATAGTTCAAGTTATACTATCTCAATTTTTCTTTTAAATTAGAGGAATTGGTAAGTATTTTGAAAATAATTTTTAACTGTTAGTAACCCAGTTTTTATTATTCTGTTATTTACCTTGAGCACCTTTTCATTCATTTAAAAAACTCAGCATATGAGAAAGCTTATTTTGGTCAAGTTTAATGTTTAGAAACAAAAAGAAAAAATACATGTAGATTTCCATTTTTCCAATTTCATATTATTTATCAATATTACATGGAACAATGAAATGTATTTTTAAACTTACTCTTAATGATTGTGTTTTGTCATTGTCATTATCTCTCATTTCAATAATGCATGCAATATTTCTTGCTCTGCTAAATATTTTTTGTGTATCAAATGAAAGACTTTGTGGATATACATAAAGATGGTTGATATAAGTTGTATATGGTTGAACATCTTTAACAGATGAACTTTCGAATTCTGCTATTTCTAATGTTATATCGGACATTGGTAAAGTACAGAAAGGTTTTAAAGTTTCAAGTGATGTTGTCAAACAATCTAAAAGGATAAAAACAATATTTTAAAAATTAATATGATATAAATACTTCAAATTTAATAATACAACCATAATGTACTTACTTTGAGGAATTTCTGTAATAGCTTCAATTTTAATTTGTATCCATCCAGGTATTACTGTTAATTTATTTAATTTATCAGGTCTATTGAAACATAATAGAAGAAATATGAAAATTTTACACATAAAATCTTTTATAATTATATTATGTACATTAATACATAATCAAACGTACTTTCTGTATTCCAAAAGTAATTTTAATAATTCTTCATCTTTTATTTTATTTCCCTCTTGTCTATAAATAGCTGGAAAATTTGATGAGGTATCCAATTCATTACTATATAATCTAAATAATGGTCTAGCTGACCATGCAAAGGGCATTCTATAATTCCCTAATCTATAATATATTGCAAATAATATTAGTAACAATAGAAGCAATGCAGTATTAACAACAATATTGAAATAAATTATAAATACAAAACAATATTTAGTCCTTATACTTTATACTTTTATCATTATATGACTAACAATAAATATATAAATTAATATTCTAAAAGTACCTTTGGCAATAAGCTTGAACTTGTTTATGTACTTTCGTACCCAAACGAGGATCTTTTGCAGCGCGAATATATGGCTCACAAGTTTGATAAATACTTCCTTGCAAAATTTTATCAATCCTTATTACGAGAAATATATCTGGATGCGGGTTACTTATACTGAATATCGCTTGTCTTACGCTACTAAACCAAGCGGTTGAAATAGTTTTTAAATCATCTTGCAGTTCTAAACTATTTTCTGATGAAATTCCTATATGATTTTCATCTTTAATTAATTTTCGTACAGACTCATGATTAATATCAAAATAAAAATTTTCACTTAATTTTCGATTATTTCTTGCATCAAAAATACTTAAAGTTGTGAAATATGGCTCAACTTGGCATAAAGATTCCTGTTCATCTATTAATGCCTGCAGTCTGAACTTGATGTTCTCACATTTGACAAAGATTCTTTGGTTGAATTGTTCTTTATATGGCTCATTACTTTCATGATTTGTTGAAATTTTATTACTCTGCTGTGTAAGATGCATTTGAAAAAGAAGCCTTCTATTTTTCTTTCGAGCAGATGAAATACTAATATCTGTTTCTTGCGAATACTTAATTAACTGTGGATTCATACTCTGCTCTAAGCCCTTCAAAGTACCAAAACCCTTTACATAATGAAAAATAACATTATATTACTTTAATATATTAAATAAATTATACATATTTATAATTATAAAATAAAGTTCGTACTTGATTTAAATGTGACAATGGTGGTAAAGTATCGCACGTTTTCTCAAGCCAAGCTGCATGTTTTTCTTCTTGTTGCTTATAATGTTGTAGCACAGTATTAAGTTTTACTATCCATTCATGTAAGTCATTTTCATTATCTGCAGCTAATGTATATGATTTATGTGGTCCACTCATTTTCAATTCAAAGCAATATTTTCCTCTTTTAGGATTTCGTACAACCTCTGTACAAAAATCTAAGTTAGCAATTTTGACGTCATTCTTCTTTTCATCTTTGAAAAATTCTAAAATATATGTCCCATCCACTTGTTGCCTTAAATGACAGAAACGTCTTTTAAATGACTTTGATCCAATATTGGAAAACATAATGCGATCGCCAACACTAATTTCTGGACCTTTTAAAAGATAACCTTCCTTTGTAATGCCAGCCCCTTTCATGACATCCTAAATATAACAAATATACATAATTTATAAAAGTGTTTACTAATTATTATAAATTTACATCAATTAATACTATTAATAAAAGACTATGTAAAATAAATACAATATATAAAAATGGTAGTTAAATACCTTACCTCATCAATTTGATTTACATCGATATCTATTTCATATATTTCATCTTTTAGTTCATCTTCAAATTTTCCTCCATTGTAACTAATATAATTAATACATAAAAAAATATATATATATATACATATTTATACAAAATAATTATTTATATATGGATTTAAAAAAATTATTTACATACGCAGGAAGATCAATATATGATCCGCTATAAGCTGAATATTTATAGTAGATTAAATTCCAGTCAGAAGAATAACTTTTTATACATTCTTTTGAAAGTAAATTTGCTTCTTCCAGTCTTATTTGGGGTGCAGTAGCAACCACGGTTCGATATTCTCTAGGTAGAACAACTTGCTGTAAAATAAATTCAAGATAACTTTTATCAATTTAATAATAATTGTTTAATATCTATTAGGAAATCTACTAAAGTTAATATATTTTCTGACTTACAGAAACATCATCTGGAGGATATAATAATATTTCTCTGTGCCCATCATTATGTATTAATGTTTTATTCTTCAGAATAAAGCTTTCATAGTCTATTGGATCGACTATACGTAATTTATTCTAAAAGCAAATTTGAATTTCAACATTTAAAAAATTTAAAATAACTTTTTATAAATACATATTAACAACAACAATTACAATGAAGAAAATGTTATTTTTCTTTGATTTAATAATATTTAAATAATCATTAGGGTAAATCAGTAATTGTCATACTCTAATTTTTAAAAAATCAAAAGAAAATTAGTTTTATATTACCTGTATAGTACTCTCTCGTACAACCTGAGACACAGTTTCCCGGAGTTGTGCAGCCATTCCAGGCTTTCCTAAAGCTCGTGTAAATTTTCTTTCACTCATTTTTTTTTTTTTAAATATATTAAACTAAATTTAAGAATATTATTATGTTTTCATCTTATTCAATATTCTTACATGACTCGAAACGCATGACACGAGCCATATGTACTAGCATTGAATTATAATGACAATCATAACAGAGCATGTCAATTGTTATCAAAAGCTTCAGAAAATCAGCATCCACGGTTATTACTTTCAATTAATAATTTATTCTTGTTGTTTATATGCTCATGACTCAATCAATGTGAAATATGAATTTATTTTGTTTGCGCATTTTAATATTTTCTTAATGAAAGTAAGACAAAATTAAATTCTGAAAATCCAGTATTCAATATTTAAACAAGTATTTAAATAGAATTTTTATAAACATTGTGACTTGTCAGTAATGATAAACAAATATATCGTTATATATAGAAGACGTTTTAATTATAGAATTATTATATATATTTGTCTATATAATTTTTTTTTTCTGTAAATTCACGGAAATGTTAAATCTCTAATACTTATGTAACGAATTGCAAAGCATTGAATGACATAAAAACCAACGATCCGACGGTGAATTCAGATTTTAGAAACAGAGAACTGATTAGTTAATTTGAAAAATTTTAATTTACGTCAGTCTTTAAGGAAATATAATTATACATGATGAGAAGTAACATTGTAATTTATCAATTATTCTTTAAAGTTTGTTATTCAATGTGAATCATACTCAATTATATTACAATTTATGAAAAAATTAAATTGTTCTAATTAAATTAGTTATATATAAGTAATTTTTAAATATAAATACTTAAGAAATGAAAAAGAATTAAAGTTTGATAGTGTCGTTATAGAATTTAGAATAATGAAATTCAACATTAGAATAAGAAAACGCATGCGTATAATATTAGAATATATTATAAATATCATATTTAAACATTAAAATAATTAATAAACCACAAAAACTATAATTTAAAAATTGAATTAGTATTGCTTGAATAAAAGAAATTCTTGTAATCCATAGTTTTAAATTGACAAAGACTTATATTCATATAATGAGAAAAAGTTAAAATTTATAATTAAGTGTGAAAAAATTGTACATTATACAATTATAATTGAGAGAACCAATCAATTTAATTTTGCTATGGCATTTGTATTTTACAGTATCCCGTATATTTTTAACTTACACAATCTGTGAAAGTTGTAAACGGCTACCTACTGTCTGGTTTCCATTTATTTTCGTGCAAATTAATTTTATCTTTAAATGTCAGACACTATCTAACTACCATTCATTAATTATTATTTTGTATTAGTACTGGTATTTACATATTTGAGTTATTACACATTTTATAATAATATATAAAAGCAGATTCTGACTTTTATAATATGTGAAAAGGATATCTAATAATTAAGTGCAGCACCTTGAATAGCTATACTTTCAAACTCGTGTTTTACACTGTTTAGCAAACAATACTTTTAATGTATAATTAGTAAAGATAATTCGAACTATTATTTTAACCATCCAACTCATTTTCTTTCTCATCGTAGCTGTATTTTTAAGGTATTCAAAAGTAATATACATACATAAATAAAAATAACTATAGTTTAAGATATGATATATAATGGTTACGCTATTGATATATTGTGATTAACAGTCTGCAACTATTGTATCCCATATTATAAAGCAATTGGTGAACAAAAAGTTGATCAGAAATTTTTTAAAGCATTAGTTAATTTTAATACTTCATTATAGTATCATCTTATGTAATCTGTTATATCAAGATATAATATCTTATACCAAGTATATAAGATATCATGAGTTATACCTAACAATTTAAAATGTATTGGTACAAAAGTTGAACACATCACTGTTTTTCTTACAAGATGAAAAGCACTCGCTTGTAATATGAAAAAAATCATTATTATTGATCAAATTCCTATCATATTATCAATCATAAATATAGAATGACAAAAGATTAAGAAATAATTGGTTGGTTCCTTGATAACAAGGAAGTTACAGAACTTTGGGAATATATATTTATTTCAAATATAATTGTTAAAATTAAGATATTAAAAGTGATACACTAAAATATATCACTGATACCTACTTGGCTAATTCAAATTCTTTAATCAAATACATAAATATATCAATGGTTATTCATCAAAAGTTTTTACATATCATATTTTGGTGTTGTAGTAAATAGAGGCACACATTGAAGAATTGAAAAAGACTTAAGAGAAAAATAAAAATCCCATATTGAAAAGAAAATTAAGAATGCTTGTTATTAAAACATTTCAATATAAATTATTTTCAAGTACAAAAAAAATATTTGAATGTATTTCAAAATTACAGAGCTTGAATAAAATATGCAAATAATACTGAAAAATAAACTATTGATGTTAACACTATCGTAGAGAGTTTTTAACACAAATGGTTTTAAGATACAAAAACAGAAGATTTAAATATGATATTAATATTCTTTATCTATTGTAGTTAAATTAATAAAATATATAATTGTAATAAATCCATTGATTCAATGCGATATTATTTATATTTAAATATTCATAGTAATGACCGATAAGGGAAACTTAGACTGTACTTAAAGAATCACTGAATTATCTATTTTGCTACTTTAATAATTCTACATATTTCTTATATTATATTATAATCTATTATAATCTTACATATTTGAATCAATACAATATAAATACAGAATAATGCACTGATATATAACTAGTATAAAGTATATAACTACATTAGTTTTTTAACAATAAATAAAAGAAAAATCATGATAAAAAAAACAAAGATATCCAATGAACATAGAAACTATAAATAATAGTGAAAGTATTGGATCAGTAAGTAATTTAACTTTTAAATATTGTAGGAAACAGCTATCTGATGCTATATTTTTCTAATATAAAACATTTACCTTTTAAAATTACTACTTTTCACCCAATTTATTATAGTATTGTTGGTTTTGCCTAGTTTACATATTTTCTTGTATTTCAATGTTTAATAATATACACATAATATATGTTTTTATGTTAAAAATTAGCTTTTAGAGTTTAAAGGTATTTTTTTGCTATTGCAATGAATTCCGAATGTAATTTCCTTATGCCTAGAGAATCTGGAAAATTCATAGCAGAATCAGCAACACACGTTATTCTTAAAAATGCTGAAATTAAAAAATTTGCAGGCATAGTTAGTTTTATATTTTTATCAAAAAACTACTGTACACATGGCAGTATTTTAAACTAATTTCAATCATTATTTAATTTTGATATTTGTATTAACGTGAGTTTCAGATATTAGAAAATTTTAAATGTCAAGAATCAAGTGTTAATTCCTGTGAACACAGTAATTTCCTTGATAAAAACGATCCGAAAGTAGCTGATTTAATATTGTTTATAGACACGTTAAATTTTTGTTTCTGGAATGATGCAAATAATTTAAAATGGAAAGTTAATGGAGAAACAGGATATTTTGCTCTATGTGCTGCAATAAAAAGAGCTCTCAAGGTAAATTATGATAATATACAACTAAATTTACTTTTACAAAGTGACATTAATTTTTCATTTTATAACAAAATATTAAGCAACAATAAAACAAACTTTTACTGTATCGAAACTTAATCCCACGCTTCCGTTACGGCGTAAAAATCTTCCAAAAAATCATAAAACAATTATCGCTAAATGAGAAAATAATTTCGAATAGTGCAGAATAATATTCCATGGTTATATTACGACGTACAAAAAATATATACACGAGATTTATATTTTCAACTAATAATCATAATAGTGTCAGTTTATTTTAAATTCTTATGAAAGCAAGGTGGCTTTGAATTGTCAGATAGCTGCTTTATTCCACGTGACCAATGTGATATCCCTTATTGATAGTAATATGCTACAAGATCGATGAAGTAACGGAATAATACTTGTTGTTTGCTCTTCCAATATTTCAATATTGAATAGTTTTCCATTGCCGATCTTACATAATCCTCCCAAAGTCAATCAATCAATATTCCAATCGATAAACCACCGTCTTTTTAAAATGAAATAGTAATTCTTTATAGTCGCTCTTATAGAGTAGCATGTTTCCAAAAATTTTATCCATCTATGAAGAAGCTCATGGGAAAACTATCCATAGCCGCGATTTATCAAATTTGATTCTCTTTTTTTTTATTCTCGTCTTTAGTCCAATCGTTGCATCATTATTTCTACTACATGGCTTTTACAGAATATTTATTGTATTAATTATTCATAAGTAAAATAATAAATGTATATCATTACAGTTACGACTTTAACATGTGTATCGTTGTTATTTCATTATTTTGCAATTAAAAACAGAACGCATCTTCTTCTTTGTCGATTTTATTATTATTTTTTTTTTAAATACCATGTAACTTGAAATATTGGTATGATTAATTATTATTTACATATTTTATTACAATTTATTACATAGAGAGAATATTTAAAGAAATTGTATTTCATGTTCGTATTTTCATTCTGGCATTAGACTTTTATTTGCTTTTAAGATATGTGTTTGCGTTTGCTCTGTTCTTCCAATGATACTTTATCGATGAAACGGTGTATCATGAATTTTATTTTTCTTTCATATAAATATTTGGTCATATTAATTAATTTATTATTTATTAATCAATATTCTAACTAATTTCGGAGGAGCGTCACAAAACTTATCTAAAAAATTGAATAAATATTTTGTTTTGCTAATGCATACTAAACTTTTATATGTAATACATTTGCTTTAATATAATAATTTTTAATTAGGCAGGAATTCCAATCACCGATGCTATATTTCTTTCAAAAATTACACACGATGAGCTTCAAAAAATTTTGCAAGGTGATCAAGATAGTGGTGAAATTCCTCTTTTACACGAGCGAGTACAAAATCTAAACGAAGTCGGTCAAGTTCTTATTAAAAAATATAATGGTATTTTTAACAAATATTTTTGTAATCAAACATTTACCGAAATATATAAAATCTTGTATTTTTTTTTTATTTCAATTTAATTGAAATGTTTTAAGTATGTGTTTTACTAAAAGAAAATTTTTTAAAAATCTTTTTAAAAATCAATGATCGACAATTTTCTTTGAGATATTTGTGAAATACTAATAATATAATTTTACATAGGAACATTTGTCGAATGTATAAAGTCTTGTAATAACTCAGCTGAAAAATTACTGAAGCTTATTGTTCATAATTTTAAATGTTTTCGCGATGAAGCAAATTATAAAAATTATCAAGGTAATAACTTATTTTTTATGATCTCTGATTATTTATAATTATATATCTTTAATAATTAATAATCTTTAGTGGTTAATTTCTGTGATGTTTTCACAAAAAGTTCATGAATATAAACAATTAATTTAATTGTATTAATGATATCTATTGAACATTAACTATAAACATGTTTTAAATGCTATATTTTATAAATAATAACATATTTATTGTAAAAAGTCTCTTTTTATAAAAGAGCTCAGATTTTAGTTGCAGACATATGGTCATGTTGTCAAGGAGAAGGCCTTGGTGCATTCAACGATATTGACTATATCACAATGTTTCCAGATTACAGAGTTCCACAAGTGCTTATTTATTTTGGTGTAATGCAATATAATAATGAGCTACTAAATAAATTACAATCTGGTACGATAAAGTTTAATGATTTTGAATACGCTTATCATGCAATAATAATGAAATATGAAATAATAATATTGGTAAAAGTATCAATATCCTTTATAAACATTATGATTGTGTTTAGTATTTAAATTCTTAAATATATAAACTTTAAAATTTTTTAAAACATTTGAAATAATTTTAAATAGGTGTGACTTTAGAACAGAGATCCGTTGAAGAAATAGAAATCCGGGGTTGCTCAATTGCAGCAGTTGAACGAATCATAGACGAAATTAAAATTTTAAAACGTGAAAATCCAACATTATATTTAGATAAATTACAATATAACTCAATATATATTGATTACTTTCTTTGGGAATATAGGAGAAAGCATGCAGAGAAATTAAAAGATATACCTTATCATAAAGTTAGGACAATATTTTATTAAATACTTTAATTCACGTATGGAGAGAAATTTGTAAATTATTATTATTTGTAAAGTATATTTATAATTAAAATACTCGATTGAAAATGTATACAATTTTTTTAATATATAATTTTGCAACAACATTATATATCATATTAATTAAATAAAAGATTAATATTTTGAAATTACTTATTTTATAATCTGCGTTAATAAACGTCTCCTATTGTTTTTATTTAATTGTACCATAGAAACAAAAACATTTTTCTATTACAATAAATTTAATTACTGTTACTAATATATGATGTAGTGATTTTAAATTTAATAAAGCAATTAAAAAACAAATTAAAAAAAATACTACATTGTATTATGAAATCATACAGTACAGATATGAAATTATTGTGAATTTTTTATAATTTGTAAACCAATGTAGTATAGAAATAAAAATTATTATTCAAATAGTCATTAAATCAAATTTATAAACAAATGAAATACGAAAATCTTAAATGAAGATTACAAAAAGTACGTGTTTAATATAAAATAATGTAAAATGAGTAAATTTAATAAAAATACGTTGAGAAAATTATGTTATATTATCTTAGAAGAGTATATTTGTTTTAATATAATAAATTGTACATCCTATATTAGCATATTTGTCTCGTTGCAATATTAGAGGAAATTATTTTAAAAAATTATCATATATAGAGAAATGAATGCAATAAATCATCCACAAACAGTAAGAACATATTTCAAATAATTGAATTTCATTCTCTAACTATAAATTATAATTCAAATTTTATTGTTATACTAAAAGCAATTTTTAGTTACAAATATTAAAATAATCATACAAAAATCTTTAACACGTTTATATATGTATTTTATGAATTACGTAATGAACTTACAATTATAATAACACTTAGATTATAAGATTTCCCTTATCCTTAAGTATAATAGTATTTTTATCGTATTTCATAAATAGTAATTCAATAATTATTGTTATATTATTCATTTACATAATTTAAATAATTTATTAATAATCAATATTATTTTACTCAGATTTACATAGTTACTTTTAATGTAGTAAATAAATAAATTGCAGTATTAAAATAACTTAACTAGTATATTGTACCCTCAATATTTAAGTATTATTCGTTTTTATATAACAAATAACATTCAACAAATTAAAAAAAATATTATAAAAAACTGTTTAAAAATCAATATATTATAATATTATTTATCACATTATATGTCTCATTAATTAAATCACAATATTAATAATCTTATATATGGTACTATATACTTATTTTTTAAAGCTTAAATAAAATTCTAATTTTCACAATAAAACTAAAAATGATATTATAATAAATATATGATGTTCGTGTATTAATTATAAATTAGTATTATTGCATTAAATGACTTAAATATATTTTAATAATATTTAAGACTCGAGGATCATTCAAGTAAATATTTGTTAAAACTTGATAGTTTTTCGAAATTTGGTTATTAAATGTGATTTACAAATTTATTAATATTTTTCTTCGTCATTGTAATATTTTTTTATATTTTAAATTATGCATACGCGTTTTATTTGGAATTTGACGCAATCCTTCTCTAAATTCTTTCGACAATGATCTTGCTGTTAAGCTATGTAATTGTCTTGATATTGTACGTCTACTTTGAATAGATTTAATTCCTTTTCTTTCTAATTCATCTGATTTTGATTCAGCCTGCAAAATTATTTTTGTTAATTATTATTTCTTATTATAAAATTATTTAGTTATTATATACAGATATTTGTATACCACTAGATTAGATGTAATTGTTTCTTGATACTTCTTATCAAAAACCTGTACAAGTTGTTTTACCGATGGCATTGATAGTTTTTTCTCAATACAATTGTTGTTATTGCTGATTTTACCATTTGATGAAAAGTGTTCGACTGATTTACCGTGATAAAAATCTCGTTTTTCATTAAATAATTTTGCAGTGATTATTTCAGTTTCATACTTGGTTAATTTATTCTCAATAATGTTTTCACTATTACAAGTTACAGATGCTTTACATGGTGTAATTATAGTCGAAGTTACCTCCGAATTATCTTTCTCAAGTATTACATTAGTTTTTGTTTGATTATCTAAAAGAAAATCACCATCAATATCAGCTATTTTTATTGAATCTACAGTGTCAATTTGCTTGTTGTTTATAAGATTTGATTTATATCCAATTTCTTTGTATGTTTGATTATCCAATTCATTAATGGATTGACTTTTTACAATACTGCTTTCTAAGTAATTTAAAGGCTGTGTATCTAATTTATTCATCCCTTCCTGATCAATAGAGTTTAAATTCGATATTAATTTTGGTAAATCATTTTTATCAAATTCACATGCTTTTAAATCCATTTCCCGAATAGACCATTTTTCATTACATAGTGGTTGATCACTCTGTACTACTTCATTTATACCGTCGAGTATATGATCTTGATTATTTAACTTAGCTTGAATTTCATTTTTGTTATATCTTCGTTCGTGCTCCAACATTTTATTATTTTTCGTTGATTCTAATGTCATGGATTCATCACTGACTACTTGTAAAACTTCCTCATTGGTATCATTAACAGTGGTATTTAAAATTGGTTTGTTATAGTGTTTTTCTAAATTTGTTGTTAATATTAAATCCTTATTAGATGAAATTGGTAAATTTGGTTTTATAAATTTAATATTTTCCTACAAAAAAATTTTAAATTATTGTTACTAAATATATATGAATTGAAAATGAATACAATATTAACAATTAAATATCTTAAGTTTATAAAAATAAAAATTTCTAAACCTGAGTAGAAAGATTTAATACGAAATTGCAAAAATGCTTGACTTTTTTTAGAAATGATAAAAAACATGTATTGGTAAAAAATTTGCTTATAGTAATTATTAGTGTTAATTAAAAAATTATACAATGTATTATAAACAGTATTCATAGAAGTATTTTTGCAAAAAACCGATATTACTAGACACACGTGATATTTTAATTAGCTTGAATTTATGAATTGATCATGTATATTATACATGTTTAAAATACTTCATTCATGTAAATATAATTAATGAAATAAATTTATGATATGTAAAAAATTTCGAAAAATTTTCAGAGTACGAAATATTTTGAATAATGTGGGTTAGCTGATGCCTGAAAGTTACAACTTTTTTTCTATATTCACTTTTCACAACCGTTTCGCAGTGTTTTAGAATAAAATTACATTCGAATCAATAAATGATATTTTAACCATTTCTTTTCTCATTTGTATAAGATGTTTAAAACTTTACGAACAAATTATTTAATAAAAATTAATTTGAATTAAATAACATAATTTAAAAATAATATTATAATACTACAATATATCGGTCTAAATTGCAATCAAAATATTATTGATTGTTTCATTTTTAAATGAAGAATCGAAAAAAAGTATATTTGTATATCAAAATTATCCAAGTTAAAATCATTTATTAAAAATTTTTATTTTTGTCAATTAGTTCCACATAACACGAATGAGTTCTATTTTAATTTTTTATCGAGCTGAAAAAATGTTACTAAAAGTATAAAATAAAATAATATATTTTTTATTGATAACTTTAAGAATTACAATTTTCACAACAGTTTTCATAACATATTTATAAAAATTTATTTTAACTTTTTTAATTTTTCAATATGCAGTAGACAGAAAAATGATAGAAAAATAATAATTTCTATTCATAATAAAATGGTAAATATAGCGTAACAAATAATTTTTTAATAAAATTTTTGTGTCCATAGAAAAATAGAAAATTAAATATTATTGAATATGTTAAATATTGGGAATTCTATTATTCTATTTAATTTTTAATCTAAGTCTAATATGCAAATTGAAATTGAAACTTAAATATAATATAACTAATTATTAATTAATAATTAATACAATATAGAATGAATCAAAATATTTTTCTGCAACTTAAAATATACCAAAATTAGAAAGATTTAGTCATAAAGTACACTTTATAATTCATACGTTAAAAATTTTTAAAATTAATAAAACTATATTAAAGTAAGATGTAAATTTATTCGAACCAACAATAAAATAAAATCCGCCCCTTTTACTTTAAAAACATTCTCTTTTACTAATATTTTTTAATTTTTATGCCACGATTTGTTCATTTAAAAACGTTAACTTAATCAGTTTGCTTATATAGAATGTGTAATAATAAATATTCTATAATATTTTAATTTACACTAAGCTAAAAATATGATAAAAAATAAAAACAACTTTCCATGTAAATGGTAATCGAAAGATCCTGTTAAAAAAAAATACATATATACTTTATGATATGATAAAAACACGATTTAATTTTTTTTTATAAACAAATGTATATTTAGTTCTGAACTAATATATTATATTATATATATATATATATATATATATATATATATATGGAGAATTCGCACTGCATCATAAAAAGTGTATTACGTACATTTAAAAAAAGAAGTATAGTACTACAAAACAGCCATAGTATGAAGTTATCAAAGACAACCCAATAAAACGTGTTAAATACAATTCTGTGTCCCCATTATTGTTAAACGAGGGTTTTCCCCAAAACTATTTAAGTCATATTTCTAATCAATTAAATGATCAATAGTTGAAGCTTGTTTATATTTATGAAACTGAAAGGTAAACCGTAAAAATAATAAGAATTCTGTGTTTTCATTTATCTAATATTAATAATATCATCCATTGTATTAATGTAAAAAAATTTTGTGAAATTAATTAAGTCCTTGACTTTATTATTTATAAAATAGATGAAAATAAATAAAAATTCAGTTGATTGTGTTTTTATCAATTTATAAAACATTATATCTAAATATAACTTACTTGTATTTCTAAATTACATTCATTTTGATTTGATTTATTATAATTGATGTCACTTATCGATTTAGTTAAACTATCAGACACAACTGATCGTTTGGTTTCTATATTAGAAACAATTCGATTGTCGATATAACAATCTCTGGTAAACCTATTAAAAAATTGTATTATTTAGCAAAAATATTATTTTTTAAGGTTTAAATATTTTAATTGAATAAATAAATAAATAAATAAATATATATATATATGTTTATTTTTTATTTATATAATAATAAAATATCCTTAAAAAATTAACACAAATGAAAATAGCATACATTATTTATAAAGATTCTTATTTATAATTCTCCTGTATATACCTATGAATATTTAAAAAATTATTTGTTAGAGAAAAAAATATAATAATAATTAATTTTAATAAAAAATTTTAATAATAGAATACCTATAGAAATATTAATATTATTCCAGTTTTTAACCAAATAATTAAATTTAATCCAATTTCACTTATTCTCAATCAAACTGTACCAATCAGGATTGGTTAGAGATTTATAACAATGTAAATAATAACGTTATTTTTATAAACAAAGGTATGTAAATTATTATCGGAAATATTATAAGTAATTGACGTATTTAAAATAATTTGCATTGCATAGGTAAATCGCAATTATGACGGTAAAATATGAACTAATAATTATCAACCAATGATATATTATAACGATTACAACATAATTCTGTTCATTAGTGTGAGAGCGCAACACTAATTCAATAACAAATTTCTAAATGTTTGAAAAAGCATAGTATAGCTCAGAATTTGAATGAAGTTTATAAGAAACTTTTAAAAAATCCTTAAATGTATTGAACTATTTATTACCTTGACAAATCAAATGGTCCAATATATTTTTTTTCTAGAAACCTTTTTTGTATATTCTCCTTACTATAAGGATTATTTTTTATTGAAGTAGCAGATTCCCATTTTTTATGTTCTCTTTCAGCAATCGAGCCTTAATTATAATAAAAATGATAAAAGTATTAAAAGTGATAATTTTAATATAAATTTTAAAAATTGGTAACAATTGAATAATACAATTGTGTTGACAAATTTTATATACCTGGATACTTTTATATTGACTATCAATTAACAAAATTCATTCGATAAAACGATGAGAATATTCAAAATTTTAGAAAACCAATAACAGAAAATAAAAAGCCGAAGTAGTGTATTGACAGTGAAAAAACATAGGTATATGAAAAAACATTAAAAAAAAAAATATATATATATATATATATATATATATATAACAAATTTGAATATTATCAATTTTATTTTTTTAAATAAAAAAAAATATAAAATTATAATTTTTTATTAATTATGATAATATTATTAAGTATGATAGATATACATAATTTATTATAAAGTTATGACTATGTTTTATTAAATTTTTAGTTTATAAATATAAACAATTAAATATTATTTTAATGTATTTTCTCTAGTTTCATTAAATAAGGTATTAAATTAGTTATTAAATAAGGAATACATTTAGGAGTAGAAATATTTAGGAGAGTAAGTAAGAGAGCCTATCTCATACCTCAATATATAAGATTTTAAGTAACATGACTTCCTTATATTATTAGATTTTGTAGTAAAATTTAAAATTTTCAATGATCAAATTATTTTTTTAAACATTATGTTGCTAGAATTAAACAATTGAAGATTTTTAAAAAAGATGCGTAAAAATGTATAGACCATTATTATCGTTTTATATAGTTCGTGGGAATATCATGACTTATTTTCTCAATTACAATAAAATATTTATTATGTTTAGAATATAAAAATAGATTATAAAATATGCTCATATATAATACATCTCACTCAATTTAGTAGAAAAACTATTGAATTAAAATAATGTTATATGACAAGATCACGGATTAAATATAATAACTCTTTACGTGCTAGAGAATTGGTTGCTATAATTTTACTATATAATTATAATACTAATTTTATGTGACTAATGTTTATCAGAAAATCTGCAAAACTTTGAACATATATATTTATATCTATATGTTAAATTTTAAAGTAAAAGAAAACAAAGTAAAATATACAGTCATTGATATTATTTAAAAATTACATAATTAGCATAATTTCAATATAAATTAAATATTTATAAATTTAATTTATAGTTTTGTCGTTATTACGATTTTTATTACTATTCACATTATTTTGAGTCATTTTAATCAAAATAAATTCTAGCAATAAAAAACCTACCTGGTTTTGGAGGTGCATTTAATTGAACTTCTTTGTCTGAGTATTCGTTTTCATATGTTAAACAATGATGATCAACATCTTGAATATTTCTGTTTATTCCAATATTATGTTCCCTATGTAATAATATAATTTCATTAAAAATTTTTCCGATGAATAAAATAATGATTATAAAATATAGATGGTAAAATATAGATAGTAATATATTGCTTTAACGTAATTCATATTTAAAAATAATCTAACAGTCTGATATTACATTGATATAACAAACAATTATATAAGTCAAACCAAAACAATAATTCGATATTTCCGATCAAAAATCAATATATCTTAAGCCATTAGAAATATGTCATTATAAAATATTATTTATCTATTAAAATATAAATGGACCCTTGTGTGTGTATGTGTAAGTATTATCCTTGTTATTATTATTTTATTGTGCTAAACTATATGAAATGTTTAAGTAAATATCATTAATAGTAGCATAATAAAAAAAATGTTACAAAAATAAATTAAATTCTAAGATAGCAAAGCTTATAAATATTATTTTACCTATTAAATTTTTTTAATTTAGTAGATGAATTTTCAAAAGTATTATCCACATCATGTCTTTCTGTAACAAATATATCTTGTTCAGTATAATCATTATCTTGCTGATTCTCTACTTTATTAATTTGACTAGAATTTACAATGTCAGTTGGTATATTGGAATCCCGTATAATGCTAGTATTTCGATTTAATATATTATTATTGCATTGTTCGTTTAAAAATTCAAGTTCTTTTGAATGTAATGTGTTTACAGTTGCTGAAATTTCATTTTTTAAATCGTTCATATTTGGGTCTTTCAAAGATGTATTTATTAAATAAAATTCCGGTATCGATGTTGAAACATCTGAACTACAATTCATCAATGTTTTTTCATTAATACAATTCGGCCCACGATTATTTGAAATAATTGTATTTTCTGTTTTATCAGTATGATTTAATTCTAGTTTACAATTGATTGATTCTGTTTTATTATCATCGTAATAGCCACTAATACGATTCAAAGATTCATTTTCAACTGGTAGTGTCAATTCTAGTTCAGTATCTTCGTCAGAGTTTGTTAAATATTCAGAAAGATCGGATGTTTCGTCGATATCTTTATCACCAATCATTGCTCGATACTCTGTATCTGTATTTGGAACGAACATAGAAACAAATTTAGAATATTGTTTAAATTTTTTTTTTCTAAAAAGCCAATTATCTTTCCAAGAATCTACTAAACTGACAACTTTTGTATATTCTAAATCGTCTATTTCATCATCCACTTCTTCAGAGACCTGATTAGCTATAAATATTAATTATATAAAAATATATTTTTGTATTTAGATTTACGTATTTTTTAAATATAAATATTAAAAGATTTAGTTAATAAATAAATATGAATGTATATTTAAATAATAGGTTTTTAACATAACCTGCATTAAAGGTTGTAATTTTACTGTAAATTTCGATGAAAATGTTTAACTTATAATTACAGAACAAATGGAAATAATTTAAAAAAAAGAAAATTCAAATTTTCAACATAATTCTAAAGAATTGATGTATTAAACAATAATATTAAATACCAGGAAAAAATAGAAAATATTATCAAGTTCTTAAGATAATTGTATTTTTTAACTTACGATCGATGATATCCATTCCCAGTTCAGGAAATGGAACTCGATGAAATTTATAAAAATTATGACAATTATCGCATTCATCTTTAAAATCTTCATCTGAATTACTAGCTAATTCTTCGATCTTTTCTTCAATCTGCAATTTAAATTTGTAACTTTTCTAAAATCATTTAATCACACAAAAAAATACTTTTTATTAACAAATGATTAAATATATATACCTGAATTTTTTGTTCCGCATTAAAAATTTTTTTACGGAAGTTATACTAATTAATAAATGGGTATTGATCAATTTTTTGTTGAAATACTATATTTTAATCAGTTATTTGGACTTTGGACATATAGTTTTAACAAGAAATATCGATAGAATAATTTAAAAAATTTAGCGTTTTGTAAGATTTCATTGTGAGTAATATATAAGTGTGTGAGTAATAAAGTACCATATTATAATACATTAGATATTTTAATAAGTTTCAAATATTTCATTAAATTTTTAATAACAATAATAAATTATAAATCATTTGAGTCCAAAAATGCTGTAATTAACCTTTATGTAACAAAGGATAATGTTATGAGTCTTTAACTATTTATATTATATCACACTTGAATATAATATAATCCTTATGAGGAGGTAATATTATTATTATTAAAAAGACAATAACCGTAAGAAATTAATTTCAAATTATTATCACCAATGATACTATTACAGCAAAGTCAATTAAATTTTTTCAATATTTTGAATGGTTGAAATCAATATACTACAGTTTGAACATTTGATTGTTCTGAATATACATTTTCAGTACAACCTCAAAAGCCATTTTTTAAAATTATAAACTAATTGACTACTTACCATAATTAAATAATATATTAGACCATTGAATAAAAGATTTACTTAAATAGAAAGAATCTTATTATCTATTAAAATGTTCAAGCATTCTATACAATTACAAAGTGTTAATAATACATAAGGAATTGTTAGCTTGTATACTGTAATTAAAAATTTATTTATATAATCAAAATATGAAAAGTGAGTGATTTAGAAGATTTTTAAAAAACCAATAAATATAAGTTACCAGGAAAGATTTTAATTTTTTGTAAAACATAATAAGTCATAATGATCTACCAAATGATGACTAAATTGAAATTCTAGCACCAAATATCCGATGAAAAATAACTGATATCAAATATAAATTACTAATATTTCATTTGCTATTATTAAACTTGATCATTGTATTTCCAATATGGTAGTTAAAAAATGTCTATACCTTAATATTTAATTTAATATATAAATATAATTTAATAAATAAAATAAATATAATAATTATAATTTTATAAAAGCTACAAAGAATTTCAAAATAAATAGTTAAAGATTATAATTTTATTATAATTGCAAGAATTTTATATATATATATATATATATGTATATACGTATGAATCAATACATAAAAAACAAACAAAAAATAGATAGAGTAAATGTAACTATTATAAAGGTTTCAGATAAAAATACATCAACGGGAGAAAGAATGAATGGCAGCAACACTTGACGCTTGTGCGAATAAAATATTTATAAATTTATTATAAACTACTTACTATAAAAGATTTATAAGTACGATTAAACTTGCATACTTCTTCGTCACATTTACAAATTACTTCACTTTTGCGAACTTCTACTGTGCTACTGCAGGTTTTACTAGATGGAATAATTTCAGGGAAGTCTGTCACATAAAAGATAATAATACATTAACCACTGGAAAAAAATTTCTTATTATTGTTCATTTTCATAATAAAAAAAAATTAAATATATTCAAAAATTTTCAATGTGAACAATATTTAATAAAACAATACAATTTAATTAAATAATATTTAGTTAAAACAATTTTAAATAAGCTATTACTTTAATCATTATAACTGAACATAAACAAAAAGTTTAATATCTACTTGAAAATAAAATATTTTAAATACTTTATTCTTAAAGTATAATAAAAATAAATTATTAATAAAAATTTCTTTTTATGTTAGTACATTAATAGTTCTACGTAATGTAGCTTATATTTTATATAAACAATTTCCTGTTTCAATTTATTTAAATATAAATTACGGGTTTGCTTGATTCATTAAATCAATTATATAAAAATGATATACTTCAAAGTTCGAGAATTCTTTTAATTCAACATAATATAAAAAATGGTTATTATTATAAATGTAATAATATTTTATCTATACTAAGTACCATAAATATTTTGATATATATTTTTCTCATTATAATTATTTTTTAAAAAGTTTTTTAAATGCATTTAATATTCTATTAGTGTTATACTATTATATTACTTTAATATTTAAAAATTGTATACTATTGCATTTATGCTGTTTAATATTTTATTAGTTATATTATTATATTAGCATAATATTTTTAAACTTTATATTGTTACATATTATTTTATATAAGTATTGTAGTAAATAAGTATAATAATATGATGTCAAAATTTATGCGAAATCTAATATAAATTCTATGTATTAATTTAAAAATTTACCATTTAATAATTGAAAATTGGAAATATTGTTGTTCTTATTAAATTGGTCGAATCTAGATTTCTCCATCACCTGAAACATTTATAAAAAGATGATTTTTACTTAATAACATATTTAATTCTTAGCTTATTGTTAATAAATGAGTAGCATTATGTATTTAATATTTTCTATATCATCTACTTATTATTAGTATTTAATAAACGCTGCACTATTTTATATAAATAAATAATTGTCTTATATATATATATATATATATGATAATCTATCATTTATAAGTATATATTTAATTTATAATTAGAATTAAATTTAGCATTTATATTAATATCTGAAAATAACTATGTTCCTTTACAAAAAAATATTTTCGAAAAAAATTAATATATATATATAATACAAAAACAAATGGATTGTAGTTCAGGTCAGATAATGTTTAATTGAAACGTTGCGTAGTAGATAGATACTTTATAAACATCCTCAATAGTCACAATACGTAATTTCTTTTAAAAATTTAATCAAAGATATATTGAAAATCTATCTGACGTAGAATATTTTATCTAATAAACTTGCTTCGTTTATGTTTTATTTACAACAATGCATCTATGTCAAATTTACTATATCAACTTATTTCCTTCGGAAATCAAATTATTTTCTTTCTAAGTATCTGTTTCTAACAATCAATAATTATAGAATAAATAAAGGATATTTAAACAATACTTGAATGAAACTAAAAACTCAAAAAACTATATTTAATTTTTTATTTTTAATTATTTAATTAATTAACTTTTTTAAAATTAAAATATCTATATTGGTTTTAAAATTGAAAAATAATTTTTAAAATAATATTTTTTCTTGATAATCACAACCTTATTGACAATAATCATCTTAAAAAGGTCATCGTGATTTCTTCGTGACATTGTAAGTTCGTCATTTGCATCCACTTGATCATCGTTGGTATTATTAGAAGGGGAATTTTGCGAATTTGATAATTTGCATACCTCATCGACTGTACGATCAACAAGTTTACGTAATGCAGTATGTGCCATGTGTGTTGCATTATTAGGTAATTTATCTGAAAAATATTATGCTTTAAATAAAATTATACTACAGATTTGTGTGATTATAATAATTAGAATATATAACTTAAAAAGTATTTACTTAAATTTTTATATTGATGTATATATATATAGTTACAAAAGCAATTCTATAAAATTATAATTTTTTCATTATAGTATTACATAAAATAAATCTCAGACTAAATTTATAGAATATAGTGTCAATTTAAATGATAAAATATAGATATTTTTATTTGCAATTATTGTTTCTAATACAATATTTAATATCATTTTTAAATACATGAAGAAAATGATCGAAATTAATCTCAATTCTTATTGATTCTATAAAAATATCTGTCTCTTAAATTCTTAATACAATACTAGAAATTACATCCCAACTCTAATAAATAAATACATAAGAGACTCATTAATGATATTTCATAATTATGCAATATTCCATAACATAAAAGATAGCTCGATGGCAGTATAATTTTGATTAATTTATAATTTAGTAAAAATGAAATTCTAACATTTCAAAATACTATTGCAAATAAGTTTGCAAATGATATGACAAATGATATAAATGATGACTAACATAATATATCCATAAAGTCTTATAATTAATTTCTAACAAATTATAATGCTACGAAAATATTCGAATATTTTAAGTAATATTCATGAAGTAACTATAATTACTTTTATAATAATTAAAAAAAAATTGTTTAAAGATTAACAATATCTAATTCTAAATTAATAAAGTTATAAATAAATTGTAATTTATTCAATTCCATAACTAGTATTTCCCTTATATATAAATATTAAAATTAAAAATGTCATTTATCAATCATTTATTATTTAAAGTATATTCTTATTTCTACATTATTTTAAGAGGTAATTAATATATTGATATTAAATAAATTAATAAATATCTAATTATTAACATATGTCTATGCTTTAATTTTGAAAATTATTATTTAAAACCTTTCTTAATTATACAAATAATACTTACTACTGAGAGAATACGAAAACGTATTTTTAAATTGTAGAATCAAAACATTTTTATGTGTATCCATATAATTGCGATCAATATAATTTCAATATATTACGAAATACTAATATTTCTAGAAGTTTATGATTATAATCTAATCAGTTTAAGTTAAAATAATTTTTTATTTATTAATTTCAGCTTTAATAATACATAATTAACTGTGTTTAAAGTTGCGTAGAAAACGTTGTTCCGTATTTTCATAATTTTTTATTATATTTTATTAATTAGTAGCAAGTTAAAAAATTACTATTTTTATATTCTCTTAATTTTTAGTAATAATAGTTTTAAATTACATATGTGATATTTAAAACCTTATAGATTAAAATAAAAATATGGGCAATACTGACTGACAGTGTTTTACATGTATGGATACCATTTATCAGATTAAATGTTTAATTTTTTACGATTACATCTTATATTGTTATGAACGGATGCTACGATGAATAAAAACAATATCTGATAAAAATATATTTCACATACATGTAATATGTTCTTAAGCATTATAATGTTTTTAAATCGAAACTCCTATCACATTAAATGAAAATATCAATGACATTATATTATTGAACACATAAATAATTACCTCTTCCTCTTATAAAAATGATGTATATAAGGTAGATGATGAGAAGACCTCCAATTAATGTCAGTGTTTCTTGTAATAGTGATAGCAACATAATTATATCTATTTCAATCGCTGTTATTGATATCATTTATGTTTATTATAAAAAATAGTCGGTAAAAATTAAAATTATTAAGTGGTAGTGGTTTAATACAAATATGTTTTGTATCATTATAAAGACATTTTTTAAGTTGTAATTAAATTTAAACCGATTCTTCTTATAGTACTTTTTAAACAATTACTATCAATAATTAAATAAAAATTTAAATATAAAATTAAGTAAATTTTTTTCATACAAAAGCTTTAGCTAATATTTTCTGTTTTATTTCAAAATATTTTTTTAATTGTAAATTATTCTCTTAATAAAAAATTATACTTTAAAAATATTTCCATTTAAAACACGATCTCTACTTAGAAATAAATGAGAAGTTATTGAATTATAACAATTGCAAAACCGATATAATATTTCGATTTTGCTGTTTTAAAAACGATTTAGTCGAATTACGGAAAATTAGAATAAAAATATTAAATTTCGTAATAAATGATTTACATTGACTGTGTTTAAATTCATTATTTAAATTAAACTGATCATTATATAAAATTTTATGAAACAATTTATTCGATAGTTTATCAAATAGGTTTAACTAAAATCAATTTTTTCGATTATTTTGTTATCCATTAATAACATTTTTAGATGTTAATTAATTTAATTTCTTAAAATCTAAAATATATTATATTCATAAAACTACATTTTATTTAAAATATTATGAAATATTTTCTATAGCAACATTTTCTCTTACCATTATAATATTTCTTAAGTTTGAAATTATCCCATATTTTGATAAGAATTTATATTTATAATAAATTGAATTTATATTATATTTGATGAAATTTAATATGAATTTATATTCAAATTTAATTTATTTTATAAATAAAACAAAATTTTACCATTGAAAGGCTCTAATTCAATTAATATCAATTATATTTACTAGTTAAGCTTAAAATGATCGCAATTCTAGTAGTATTAGATACAATGTAATAATTAATCATTTTTATATTATAAAAAATAACAAGTGAATAGTTATAAAATAATAAGTTTCATAGAATTAAAAATCTTGACTAAATCATTATTTAAAGTTATATTTCTATTCGATATTTAATACATTTTGCCATAAGCTCATATTGCCCTTGAAAAATTTATATCTTTATTTTATTTATATAAATAGTTACACAATTAATATTATCATTTTAATACATAAAAGTTTAGTTCTAAATTTATTGTGAAATATATATAAGAACATATTTTGTATTTAATATGTTTTATTACGGAAATATTTTCAAATTTCATAAAAAAATAACTTTTTATGAGCCATAATTTTCTTTATAATATAATAATAAGAAATCTAAAATTCTTTAAAATAATGTACATGATCGTATATATTTTACGATATCATAAATTATTCATTAGAAAATAACCGAATAAATCAATAAATTATGAAAGTTCGATAAGTTTTTCAGAAAATATTTTGGATAAATATTCTTTTAAAATATTTCAAGTATTTTACTTTTCGAAGTTTTTAAATTATTAAATTAATTTGAAGTTTACGTATTAATTATTATGCTGCTTGTATGAATAAATCTCCTATAGTTTGATGTAATTATAAAAGTTAAGTAATGATTAAATAATAGTAAAAAAAAATTTTTTTTTATTCTAATTGCAAATTTTTTAAAAATTGAATTCATTCTAGAATCTTTCTTTTAGAATCAGGACTACCAAATTAGAAGCTAAAAATAAAAATTAAAATATGTAAGACTAAAGCAGTAGATCATACATTCACAGTTCAAATGAAATAAATGCAGTTTAGTATTTTGTACAATATATTTACATGTCAACGAAAAATCTGGCCAAGATATCACTGCACAATAATTCCCGCACACGACTATCACATCACATCATTAGTATTAGTTACACCGTCACTTTGAGCGGAAATAAGGAATGATCAAAGCACAGACTCTATCATTTCCGCGTAACCACAAGACACCGTCTGCGCTTTCAATGTGCAACTGAAATACTGGATCTCGCAAACGAGACTTGATGTTTGAGTGACGTATCTACACTTACGTTTCCAAGGCTTCTCTCTCTCTCTCTCTCTCTCTCTCTCTCTCTCTCTCACTCTCTCTCGCTCTGTCTGTCCGTCTCTCTCTCTCTCTCTCTCTCTCTCTCACCCTCTCTCAACCTCTCACATACTAATACATGAACACGTCTATGGTCGTACTCATGCTCTCGACCTCTCTACCCTTTAACGAGGGTTAAAACTCTTTTATAGGCTTATATCTACTGTTCCTACTTTTTAACCAATTACGAACATAAGAAAAACCTGACTGGAACTGCTTGATTTTATCTTGATTTCTTATCTGATAAACACTATCAGTTTCTTACTTTAAAATGATTGTTTTAACGTTATATAACTATGACAAAGCTGTCATAATATTCGAATATGCATTAATAAATATTTTATCACCGACAAAAAGTACAAGATTGAAAATAAACATAACTTAATTCCATAGAAATCATTTCCATGTAAAAAAAATTTATCCCTTATAATATATATTAATATTGAAGCCTATAAAAGACATAATTTTTTACAAAGAATCAACAAAAAGGATTTAGCAAATATTCATATTCTTTCATTTATTATAAAATATTATCTATGTGTTATGCTGATAAATACAGAAAAGTTCAGAATTTTATTTTCCTAATTGGTCAATTAAGAAAAAAAAACATTATAAAATGAGAATAACGATACACATTCAGATAATAATATAAATTATTATCTGATTGATAATTATTTTAATCTTAATAAATAAACAGCCTTGTCACTTCTGAAAAATTTTAGTCTATCCGCACATATTTAAAACAGTTCCTTATTTAAAAAGAAACCCTTCTTTCGAATATGTGCTATTTTCATTGTGATTTTAATAAATGTTCTTAAATGATATAAATTTTCCATCTGTTTATATCCAATTTTCGTTTGTTTATATTAATGTGCATTAATTTACATTATAAACTAAGATTAGAATGATATTTCTTATTCAATCATTAGTAAAAAAATCTATATTTTTAATAAAGTTTATGATAATTATGATATAATTTTATTTTCTGAATAAATAAATGACTATACACTAATCAAATATACTTTCCTGACAGTACATCTTAATTTTATAATATAAAGGGAGTCTAAGATAATTATATTATATTGAAATTAAAACATTAAAAATAAATACTATAAAATTTGTTTAACAATGCTTATTATCATCGTTTTAATTATTGCAGATTAATTTAAAATTTTCATCTGCATCTTTAGACATTTATAAAAAATTTTTTTAAATTTTTTATATAATGTAATATTTTATAAAAAGAATTTTCAAATTAATGTTCGTTTCGATACGACATATGTATATAAATTAAATATTTTATTTAAATTTTATTATATTTAAACAGAATTATTTATAAACCGATCGACTAATATTTAAACTATTTTTCTATATTTTAATAGGAATTAATTATTGAATAAATAATAATATTTATATTATCTTTAAGTGCTATAGTATAATTTGTATATTTTTCTAAATACTTTATGAATGATATATTTAATTATAAGCAAATAGTCATGCATCCATACATACGCGCGCGCGCGCGCGCGTACACGCATATAAATATTCATACAATGGTTAAATAAAAAATCAATAAAAATATTCAATTATAATAATCTATTCATTTTACTTTGCTGGATTTCTCATCTTAACACTCATTTTGAAGAGTCTGCTAATAAGCAAAATCACGTATAATGCTGTAAATACAAAGAAAACTTAATTTTATATTAATTATTTAAAAATATAATACAATTTTATTAAAATTAATTTCAAAATTGAGTGGTCTTTCATAATTGATTAGTTAAAATGTTAATTCAGCATAGTAATACAAATTAATATGCAAATTAAGTAATAAAAAAGCCTTGTATTATTTAGTTGTAGCACGATTTGATCACAGAAAAAGCTTTTACGTTTAAAACTAACGATCTGCATTACGTCATAGTTTGCTTATATATCGGAGATTCGTAGCTTATTTCAAGCAAGTTGAATCAGAAAACGCAACAGAGTAAAGATTTTTATCGAAATTAGTACGCTTATCGTTCGTATTAAGATAAGCTCCAAGTCTTAAATAAAAATCTTACTTCATTTAAAGACATTGCTTGTTAAAAAGAAAACAGAATAGAAAATGATGTTCTCAAAAAATTGATTTAATTGAAAGACGTTTTGTTTTTGAAACACTGGTAGCATTAGATAATTTAAATAATTAAACGTAAGCGCTTATAGCAATATTGATTTTGCCAAAAAATTTTAATTTCTAAAATAAAAAGTAAACTTTGTAATGCTTATTAATAAATATTATATGCCATTAAGATCCCATATCGATAGTATTATGAAACATGACATATCACTTTAACGCAAGAATTGAGATCTACAAATGGTATATTTCTTGACGTGTATAGATATTAAGTTTTTTCACAAACATGAATTTGATAATTTATTTAAAATGTGCTCACATGCCGCTTGTTCAATTGTTTTTTATTTTTAATTTTGTCCCATTTTGTGTATATTTTATAACAATAGATTTTATTAATATTTTATCTCTCTTTCGTTCATTCTTTTTTGTCCCTCTTTTCTGTCTTCTTGTCTGTCTTTCCCAACCACCTTCCATTTCGAAATTTATCCCTTTATCTTTTTCTCGTTCTCTCTTAATCTGCCACTTTTTGTTTCTGTCTTTCAATACCGAAATATGTAGAATTTAATTTGCAAAATATATAGTGCCAATTAAAGGCACATTTATTACTTATATTAAGATTTACAGAGTAAACAGTCTAATTCCTTATAATGTTTAAATTGAAAGATGATATAGTCTTGCTCGAATATGATTTAACATTTTAACAAGTCTAATCGAGTATATGATTTAAAGCGATTGTCTAAATAAGTAAATTATTTAGTTAAAATACAATTATATAGACGATCTGAATTAGATTTATGTATATAATATTACATAAA